CGTGATGCAAACCGGTTTCGCTTGCGCCACTGTAATGGCGATTCGTCCGCTTCTGATACTCACGCTAGTAACTGTGATTTGGACATGGTCGATTCGGGCAACTGGAGCACCGAATTCAGGGCACACAACATAACTCACCCGGAATTGGATATAAGTCCCAGTTCATCTGGGTTCGTGAGCCTGTGCTCACCGGGCACCACCGGCATCCAAGAAGATGATTCCATGCTCACCATTGAGGCCATACTCAGTGAACACAAGCCGAGGGATTTTTCTCTCACCTGCACCGGTCATCGAAACGCAGAGGACGACCATCAACAGTCGGGCTCCAATGGGAATGACAAGGGGTTGGCACCGGAACGCAATACAACTTTCGAACGGATGAACAGTTTGCAGTATGACTGTGATCATTTCCTCACAGGTAATAAAAGGGCTCTGTGTGATTCAACCGGTGTAACAGGTCCCTCCAAACGTGAGGCAATTTCCCAACAAGAAGATAGCGGTAATCACAAAGCAGCAGCTAATTCCGGTAAGCCTGCTACTGACTACAGATTCTTTCGTTATGCCTTATGGTCGGTAATGCATTGCGATGAACTGATGACAATTGACTAAGCTTAAATTCAAAGAGGCCTCCTTCAATTTTGGATGTGAGCCTCTCACATCTCAGTAAAAGTATGCAAACCTCTTTTCTAAAGCTCAGTTTATTTGAACTGTTATTTTACTAAACCTATTTTGACTTAAGGCATTCCACACCGTTGTTCACTACGCTAGTTTTACTAACCGCCGCCAACCAACTGGAAGCTGTTCACTGTAGTGATATCCAAGACCAAGTTGGATCAACGAAATAGTGCTAAACTCATGTTGTGCGAATACAGCATCTCGGTAATTCATTAGCATTTGAACTTTATCATACCGGCTGCTTTCTACGTTTCCGGTTGTGTCCTCCCAGTATACCATCCAGCATCTGTTATCCTTGCTGCTTCTAGATAACAGGTGCAAGGTCAAATTAATGTTGTATTCTTGTTTCCTCGAGTACCCTTAATTGTGGCTCTCTTCATTTGTAAGACCTATGTAACCCCTGGCACACGTGAAAAACCAGTATACTTCCCGCGTGCAGCTACTTGGTCCTCGCTTATGTGTATAATCTGGAGAGTAAGTAAGAGTTCGTGTCAGTTAGACAACTCGCCATCGCTATGTTGTTACGCGCTAGCCAAAACCATCTGGTTTACAGAGAGCATTCACACTGCTTTCTGTGATCAAATATATTGTTAATTTGCATGGCGGCATTCAGTGATGCGTGCTGGCGGTTTATCCGCCTGGATGTGCGGTGGGTTGAGTCTACTGATCAGTGCTATTCACCTTTCTGTTACTATACCGATGACGCGCTTGATATATTCCGTCCATTCGGAAACCTTCCTTATTTCAACTAATGACCAGTTCCCAATGACAGGGTAGTCTTGAACTGAGTGAAACAATCTGGGAATACGACACCGCCATGCTTCCTATTTGTATACTTTTCCATTGCACGAGCGCTGTGCCCCCGAACGTTTCACCTCTACGCCTCCCTTGTGCACACAAATCAGTTACTGTGGACTTTGGTCCTAGGCGGTCTATCTGAATAACTGTCGATATACCCATTATTCAATCTACAACGTTCCAACCTTTCGGTCGACCGAACCTTTGTTACCGAAAATGACGCTAGCCTCATTCAAGTCTACTTTCACACCACTGCACTCTGTGAATTCAGTGCAATTCATCCAACGGGAACGTTATCGGGTTCATTGCACTCGATATCTACCACCTTGAACTTGTGACAGCATAGTCAGCTTTCGGCTGCGGAGCGTCAGACTTGGCAATCGTTGTATCGAAAATAGTACCAATGTACGCATGTTTTTATCAGTAAGTTGCAATCGTAGTAAAGAGACCTTAGACGACTGCTCACAAGTGCCAACTGAATTCGAGTCCAAAGTCGACTGAATATCAAAATCCGATAAACCTAATCGGCTGTCACGCAGCCCGTAAATCACTAACTCCATCATCACTCACAACTGCGAACTCTGCTTAATAGAAGTTGATGACCATCAACCGACATCGCAGGATAAGTGGATCGGCAGTCAGGAGAGCGAATATGCTTGTCTTGTGTAACTTTCACGCTGCAAGTTTAGAGACTGTAGTGAGTTGTCTGCGGATTTGTGTAGCAGTGAAGGATATAGCCTACAAATGTACCTGGGCCGCGTACACCAACATCTATCGTTCAACACGTTAGTTAGAAGTAAGAAACACCACTGATGTTGTGCCGCGATGTATTTCGGTTAGGTGGCAGTAAAGGGGAGAAAAATAAAACAGTAAAAGCAAGGCAAGACAGATAGTGATCTTCCACCTTGTTTTATATGATCTTTCTGACGTCAGCACGCTAAGCGGAATAGGGGACGGGGGTAAAGAAACGCTACTAAGGTCGATTTTTCGCTATTTTAACATGTGTGTTCAACCAAACTTGTTCGTCGGCATTTAGAGCCCATAAGCTCTAACAGAGGCCAATTTCTAAGTGTGTTCCTTCGATGTGAGAAGCTGTTCCCTATGAGGAACGGATCAACCTTTGCTACATCCTTTTCATCTCATTGCATAAATAATGTTAGCTTAAAAATTATGAGCACCAACTTCAATATCCTGTTTTCGACAATTTTCAAACCTTTTAAATTCTTATTAAACAGAATGAGACTGCTTCTGAGTGAAGTGCTTAGCGATTCGTCCGTTTTCAAACTGGAAAAATATGGGGCACACACGACATATTACGATTTTTTATAGTCCGGTGCAACTGGACCAACAAGATTGTATACCGCATACAGAAGAGGCACTTTTTGAACAGTTTCTACTGTATCTTGTCCGGTACCTTAAAAACCACAGCACTGCTTGAACGGCGTACTCGATTGCGTACTTCGGTCGAACTTTTAGTCTTTTAGTACACTTTTTAGTACACTGCACTACTTAAGGTGCATTTCACCCAAATTTGAGGGTGATTCAAATAAGCCCTCCAGACATTGCAAAGGTTGCACTATAGATATGAGCATGTCAACATTTAATGAATGATCAGAACATGCAGTTTCAGCTATGGAAGGATATTTTTCAATTGTCTTCCTCAGACCTGCATTCTCACAGCGCCTACACTCTTCCGGGTATTACTTTCATTACTGCTTCCAGCCGTCGTACGGTGTACCTTAGTTTCCTATCTTGGCTTCAGAACTAAAATGAAAGCATCCTTGCGTGTGATACTTTTTTTTCTAATCGAGAGCGTCTTTACTACAAAAAAATGGGCATGAAATCAAATGTAAAATACACTGACGTAAAATAAAAGGGGTAATGAGACTAGGTGCTAATAGTTGGTCTTCAACTGAGAAACCCACATTTGGTATGCTAATGGCGAAATGGTAACTTCAGGAGACTGGACGCATCAATGAGAAACATGAAGGACGCACCGCAGCGTGTACATAAACCGTTACAGTAGGTTCGAGACACAAACGGATGAGCCGAACTGAAATAAATCGCACACAAATAGTTACTAAAGCGAGTTAGTGAATGTGTTGATACAACTACACAATTACCCAGTGGCGGCACTGATGAGCGGAGAACAAAACGAGCGAGCGGGACACGAAAACCTGTATTGGGATGCGGTGCAGAGTAAAAAGTGACAACGCAGTTTACACAAACAAAGGTGTAGCACGTTCGAATAAGTCTCGCTGGAAAGCGTCAACTTTGATATGCAGTATTCGTTTCATTCATTGAGACCTGCAAGAGTAAAATAAACATACCTCAGTAGTAATGATTTGTATAAACCATTCAGTCCAGTTTCGATTGGATTACAAGTGCACTATTTGAGTATCCGGTTTCGAGTCGCATACGCTATTGCTTATTAGCATGTGAACTTTTCACCAATGTTGATCGCGTTGCGTAGCCTTAGACCGTGGTCAACCCAGGCGTTCCTGATTTGCTGTGATAGGTCACAAACGGATGAACGTGAATCCAGACAGGTCTTGGAACTAAGCCCAGGTTATCGATCCAGTCAAAGCGCCGCGTGGCATGGGCACTGGCGGTTTGTGGTCCGTGCGTTGATTTGAGTAGATGGCAGCCACATTGGCTGAGACAACGGCAGAAAAACAACCGGTAAATCTGCGGGTAACGACCTCTTTCCATCTGCATCGATTACGGTTCCAGTGATTGCGGGGCCTTCAAATCCAATTGTGCTTTGTGATTCCTGTCCACGGGTTTATCAGCACACACGCTCACATTCTCTGTTTTTTTTGTTTTAACTCGTCAGTTTTTCATTGTCCGTATCGCGTCATGAGTATCTGTGATCGCGACATTTTAAAAGTTTGCGTGTTTCACGAACCAGAACCTAGCACTTTTTCCTGGTCATTCTGTACGGATCAAGTGGAAAATAACCAAAAGAAAACGAAGTGGTTCCAAAAGAAAGCACGGCGCAGGACGGCGGGTTGTACTTCAAAGGAAAAAATCCCGGTCGTATTTTGATCAGTGCCAACATCCGTTTGCTTGTGAGCAGATTAGAAGAGCTTAAACTTATAACAAGCTGTTTCGCATACTCCCAACTTGGGGTCATTATGATACAAGCAACATGGCTGCTCGAGAACGTAGAAGATACACTTATGACATTTGACGGATTTATTATGCTTCGCGTCGACCGCTCATGTACACAAAGACACCCTGGCGATGGCGTTATCACATACCTAAATCCTTCATGGTGCACCTCAACAAAAATTATTTTTCGTCATTATGCGCAGCGCATTAGCTGTTTCATTGTGCAATGCAGGCCCCCGATACTTGAGTGGCTATCGTTCAATTCAATTAGCCAACATTTATATTTCCCCCAGCTGCCCTATAGCTGAAGCTGAAAACTTTTATGACTATTTTACAACTACCGTCATTGAACATCTAGATTTTTCTTTGTGTTCATGCCGGTGACTTCAATAGATTCGATACTAGTTTTATTACCAATCTTGGACTGAAGAACATCGTGCAGTCTGCAACAAGGTTACAAGCAACCTTAGACTTAGTGTTTGTCAATGACTTAAAAACATTTTCTGTTTGTACCAATACACCGCTTGGAAGCTCAGATCATGTCACCATAATGTTGTCTCCCATAATCTACGGCAAAACGAATTACGAAAATGTTACTCGCAACAAAGATAGCAAGTTAATACAAAGACAATGTCTTCCCCGGAGCATTTATGTACTACGCTAAACTGTTATCTCTACAGACTTCGATATCTTTTACAACCGATGTATCGAACTACTGTGTTCATGTAACCAGAGACTTGAACTTTTTCTTCAATATTTGTTTTCCTATGGAAACCATTTTCATTCACGGAGCTAGGTTTTCATCTCCATGCCTTAAAAGACTGCGTAGACTCAAGGAAATTGCTTACAGGCGCAAAGACGCTGCTTCAGTAAAGTCCTTATCGATTGAGATAAAAAATGAAATGGGCCGCCTCAACCATATTTATGTCCAAGCTATAC